GAAGAAGAAGAAGAAGAAGAAGAAGAAGAAGAAGAAGAAGAAGAAGAAGAAGACGAAGAAGAAGAAGAAGAAGAAGACGAAGAAGAAGAAGAAGAAGCCGGTATGTAAAACAATTAGATCTTGCACACAGAAATAATGTAACATATCGTCAGACTGTTTATGCATACTTTGCACTGGAATGCCTCCATTTATTTCATACTTTTGTCAACATCGGACCCCTGAAGTTGTGCAAGGTGCAAAACCCCTAACAACATGAGCGGCATTGTCTCAGAACACAAAATGTAGAATAAATAATACAACACAAACAGTAATATCGTGCAATATCACTAATCATACACACACAAGTATACTACATAATGTACACGATGATGATGATGATTCCACACAGCCAGACCGTCCAGCTTGTTAGAGACAGAAAACCCTTTCTCCCCTCTACACCCAAGAGGTACAAGAAGAGGAAGGATAAAGTAAAGTATATAAGATAATAATTCTGCAAAACTCGGTACAATGGTTCGGCTTTTTTTGGGGTTTTTTTTGGGGGGGGGGAATCGGTTTGAAATAATGTGATAACACTGTTGCTCACCACTAATACTTTTCCTGACTGACACGCAGGAGTTCGTTACTGATATGACGTGTATTCTGTTGTTTGAGATTATAATTACAATCTGTGAGAGCGTCACGGAATGTTGTTTACCTTAAACCGAGGTCCGTGTGGGACCAAAGTATTTTGTTTTGACGAAACCAAATCTGGGTATATCCTGACGTCAATCCCTTCATTGTTGAGACGTTTCCACACACGTCTGTACATTCAAAAAATAGGAGTGTATTCAGGAGATCAAAGCACAAAGCCACCACCACCCACACCTCCCTCTCTCTTCTACGAATAAGCAACTGCGCACGCTGTATCAGTATTCACTAAAATTTCTCCCTTTGTAAATCAAGAGAAAAAAATGGAGAATAGAGAGGAAGTAAGAGAGAGGGAGAGAGAGAGATTCAAAGATTCAAAATGATTTATTGATTTGAAAGGCCTTTGGCCCATACATCCACATATTTTAACATATGGTTCGGCAATTACATACATTGGTGCAGGACATTGGATGTTTAATATAAATTGGACAAGCACGCCCACATACACGTATGCACGCACGCACGCACGCACGCACACACACACGCACACACGCACGTGACGCACGCACATACACTCATACACACTCCTGCTCACACACATACTTACATACATACGTACATTCGTACATACGTACATACATACATACATACATACATACATACATACATACATACATACATACATACATTCATATGATCAAATAGAAATAGAACTTCCACACAGTGCTATGAATGAGGCAGCGAGAGAAATCGGGACATGTTTCACTCTGAGAAGTGAATACCATTGTCTTTTTCATACACATATACATATAAAATAGTACCCATTACAGTAGATACAGAGTTACATATGCGAGTGAATACCTTTTCCCTAGGACAGACGTGTCCGTATAACAACATAATTTAGGAATGAGATTATCTTTTTAGAATGGACTTCATCTGTACAGACTAATATGCCATTGAGCTTAGACATTGGCCTTCGGGTGTCTGAAGTCTGACGCACTCTGGTAAAAGCTGCTCTCGTATTTCATTATATCGTGAACATCTGAACAATACATGGAATTCATTTTCTACATACTTTTCATCACACTGGAGGCAACGATTACTGTCGACAATACCCAACCGGAACAGATTATTTTTCAACGACAAACTGAAAGTTCTGAGTAATGCAAGGATCCTTCTACCTCTTGCAGAGATGCTGACTGCTTTTGATCTGGCAAGAGTGCAGCTGTGTTTTGTGTCGGTCTGTGATTTTCTTGGTTGTTTCTAAATTCCCGACAGATATTGTGTCGATATTGTGTGTGACAGTGAGTGTTGGGTTGTGAAGAGTATTTATTTGCAACTGGTGTGTTTGTCCGGTCTGTGAACAACGAGTGTTTGTCGAATTTCCCTTCTGCTATCTGTGAAGTGAAGAGCAAAATAGTCCGACATTTTTATTTTGTGAGTAGCCCACAGTTTGTTCCGAAAGCATGGAAAATCACGAGTCAAGGGAAATAAGCTTGGAGATCCTAAAGGAGCTTAAAGCCTTTCGAAAGTACAGTGAGAACAACTTTTCTGAAATTAAAAATGAAATTAAGAACTTTAGAGCAAAGTTGGAGCGTTTCGAGATAGAAATAGCTTCAATAAAAAATTCAGTCTGTGAAATTAAGGAACAGCAGCACGTGCAATGTCTTGATATAGAAGAAGTTGACTCGAAATGTGCTGCACTGCAGGATAACGTTAGAAGATTGGAAGGGGAGATGGAAAAGGCAGAAAGGTACAGTAGGAGGGAAAATTTAATGTTCTATGGTGTGCCGGAGGATTTGAGGGAGGAGCCGCATACAGCAAGAACAAAGGTAGTAGAAATACTTGGAAAAGTGACGGAGAAAAGCTGGGAAGATCGTGATTTCACACGGGTACATAGAGTGGGGCCCAAGAGGCAGAAGGACCGCCCCAGGCCTATCATTGCAAGATTCCAATATGCGGAAGACAAATTCCTTGTTTTGGGTGCAAGAGAGGAACTAAAGGAGCAGGAGGTGAGTGTCGCCGGTGATCTTACACCGCGGCAAAGAGAAGAACTTAGAGACCTGAGAGCAAAGGGGAAACGTGGTTTTTTTTTAAATGGAAGACATCACGTGGAAGACGTCACCCATACACAAACACAACACGGCCAGCAGTCACCACCACAAGACAACAGCCAGCCGCGCCGACGCGCTTTTCCCTTTCGTCAACCCGCAGCCACCTCCCAATCGTCAGCCACCCCTAACCTTTGACACGGGTCAAACTTCCATCTATTCATAGGTAGTTACCGGAACATGTATAGGTGAAGTGTTGTGCCGTGATAGTCGCGATATATTATTTATTGAGATTGTTTTGGTCTCTCTTTACTCATCACCACGAGAATTTCTTGAAGTTTTTCCCTGGACTCTGCCTTTGCTAAAATCTCGAATCTAGATCTAGATCTAGAGTTGTAATCTAGTGGCAGGTTGCAGATTTCTGTTGTTATCCAGTACATTCCAGAGATTAAATAAATTGGACTAGACTCTAGTAGTAGACTCTTCTTCTTCTACTTCTAAACCTTCGAGATTACAAAGGCCAAGCCTAGGCTTGTAAGGATTCGTTTTGTTAAGAGTGTTGTTTAACACAAAGTCTATGAAGTTAGCAAACCTAACACATTGTTTTCTAACGAAATGATGCTTAAATTGACTTTTATATTGTCAATAAGAGATCAAGTTTAATCACCTAATCATTTAAGTAAGGAAGTGGCTATTGCTATCCTCGCCCGGGGTGAGAATAAAAACCCTACGATTGACCTCTCACCCCGGGTGAGACTTGCCAGCGTTGGCTATTCTCACCCAGTGTGAAACAAGACCTGTTTTTCCTAATTTCGAAATACTTTCTATCTGTGTGGATGATCAAACTGACAAAGGCAAAGAAAAAAATGACGTTATAGCACAAAAGTAAGCTAATTTGATCGTCTACAAAGATGCTATGGCTTTCACTTTTCGAATCGACCGAACTACGCGGGTCACCATTTTGTTTTGCCCGAAAGTTCTCGCAAGATCTACTCCTCCCCCTTCTCTCTCTCTCTCTCTCTCTCTCTCTCTCTCTCTCTCTCTCTCTCTCTCTCTCTCTCTCTCTCTCTCTCTCTCTCTCTCTCTCTCTCTCTCTGTCGGCAATTTATTAAATCTGCAACCTGCAATTAGATTACAACTAGATCTAGATTCGAGACTTTAGTAAAGGCAGAGTCCAGGGGAAAACATCAATTAAATTCGTGTGGTGCAGATGAGTAAAGAGAGACCAAAACAATCTCTCTATTGCGACTATCATTGCACATCACTTCGCCTAATACATGTTCCGGTAGATTTAACTACCTATAAATAGATGGAAGTTTGACCCGTGTCAAAGGTTGGGGGTGGCTGACGATTCGGAGGTGGCTGCGGGTTGACGAAAGGGAAAAGCGCCGCGCCGACCCGAGCCCCGTGGGCAACGAGAGAGAGAGAGAGAGAGAGAGAGAGAGAGAGAGAGAGAGAGAGAGAGAGAGAGGGGGGGGGGGAGACAGAGACAGGGAAAGAAAGAAACCGCGTAGACGGTGCCTGCAGCTATAAATTTCCTTCATCTCAACGGCAGATCTTCATAATATCAGCAACAGAAACCACCAACGTAGCCATTCGCCGAATTGCGAAAATTGCACCTACCCTCGACAACTAACCCTACTAGACATTCACCTGTCTCAGATAAGCCACAAGAGACGCGTCTGAGAAGCAATTTAATGAAGTATTTAAAGGCTACACCAGTACAACCTCGCGTCATTATTGTACCGCTGTCAGTTGCGAAGCTGGTTTGCAGTCAGCCGAAAGTATCGTAGTTTGATGCTAATATATCTTGATTACGTAACGTTGTCTTGTTCACAAGGTATATTTTATTTGTGGGTATTTTTTTCCTGTTTACTTCTTCGTTGTTTATGGCAGATGAGTGGATGGTTCGCTTCAGAAAGAACCTGTGTTCGAGTTTTAGGCTCTTCTCATTATAGTAAGGTTTCCGTAAACTGGGGTGACTAAGACAACTAGGCTAACTTGGAAAAATGTTATGATTTTAAGACTGTTTTTGCGATATCAAAAATAAATTTGAGTAATTTTGCAATGCATTACCCAAAAAAGTAATCAGTTAAGGGTGTATTTTCATAAAATTTCTCTACAGAAACATCTTGAGCAGATCTGAGGCTTGTTTGTAAAATGGCTACTACCGCCTGCATTTGCAATCGACCTCGGCAAGATTTCTTCAAACTTTGGTGCGTACCTCTTATTTTATTGTACAAAATGTTTTTAGGTGAGTATTGGGCTCTTGGATGCTCAGATGAGCAGTAGAATTATTCGTGTATTTGAAAGAAAATATGTACGTTAAGGTTTTGATAGGGGATGCCTTAGTTACCCCTGTGTCCCTTGACATGTTTGGGGTGACTGAAGCACCCTGAGCTAGTGCCTGTATCTGGACTTACAACATGATGTTTTGTGATTTTCATGCACACAATTTGTAGTTTTTTCGAGATATATCTTTTCTTTCAAGATATCGGAGTCTTATATGGAACAAATACAATATGCGTGTTTATTTTTACAGGATCGAAAGCGGGCTGTAGATATTTGTGAGGCAGCGTGGTGGAATCAGGCTCTCGTCATTTTTTGGGCATGTAGAGTTATAGGAATCATCTTAAAGCTTATTCACTTGTCTTTATTTGGATGGAAAAAAATATACATTTATCTTAAATACAAGTCAAGATATGTGCGAAAGAAGGAGGTGGGGGTCACCTGTTTTCAGAGGTAAAATTAGTCAGAAAATGTCCGCCAAAGATTAGTTATTTCCTTAGTTTAAGAGTCCGTGATAACTGAAAATTTACATTTTTTATGTCCTTAATCAACGCTTTTCAGAAAAATCCACACAGAAATGAGTTTTTTAAAATTGGGATTGAAAGGTGTTGATAAAAAAAAAACACCAAATTTAATAAAAATTCACAAACCTGCGGAAAAACGCAAGTTTCTTCACTTTGATTATTTTGACGAAAGCCTGATTCCACCACACTGCCTCACATTTGTTAATTATGATCCCAGATCTCGCCATGCCTATTTGATTGCGGTACCGGTACTTGTTAAACCATTAATAACCCTTGATCTTACTGTCACAAACTGACTTGACAAGTTGTAATAAATATTTTATAATAATTTTTTCATATGTGGTATCCAGTCATCACTTTTATGTTTGTCCGTTTTTTAAGTTTTGTTTTTCTTTTCTTTATGTTTTCCTGACCAGTTGCCCATTGAATAGACAACATGCCACGGAACTGTAAATCGAAGCATGGAGCACGTGTATACACCAGTGCCTCTGATGATGTACTCTCAAAAGCGAACATTCTGCTGAGAGTTCTCAGAAATAGCAGGTAATAATACTGGTCATCATCAACATTACCTTTCTCCCCCTGCCTCAAGGTGTAGGCTACAAAACAAATTCTTTCAACCTTTCTGTATCCTATTCTAGCCTCTTGATGTTATTGCATGTCTTCCCACATTCTGCATGTCAATTTATGTGAATCTCCCCCATGTTTCACACGGCATTCCCCTTGATCTTTTACCCTCTGGATTCCAATCCGACACCACTTCTTTGTTATGCAGCTTCCCGACTTCCTGAGAGTATGTCCAGTCCATCACCACCGCTTTCTTCCTACCCCATCTCTGATTGGGATCTGTTTTGTTTTCCTTAACACTTCCTCTTTGGTGACCCTGTCTGTCCATCTGATCCTCGGTGGCTTTCTTAGACTCTTGTTCAAGAAAACATGAAACCTCTTTATTATGCAAGTCTGAAATGTGTTCCATGTCTCACATCCAAGCGCAGGGCTGACATTCAATAATATTTGTACCGGTAACAATATTTCTGTGTCGGAAGTATTTTCGAATCTTGAAATGCTATTTGGAGACCCAGCTGCTCCTGCAATGAGACCTCGTCAAAAAAGGATGGATGTGGTTCCCGGGAAGAGCATTTGTAATAATGGCAAAGCAAGGCCGTCTTCATGTGTCAGTTACAATCAAACGAAGAAGAGCTATCAGAACAGGAATTTCTTTCCTCTAACTCCGAGTCTGAGACTGGCGTTGAAAATCAGGGACAAACCCGGAACCTCTCTGAAGGCTTCGTTGAACTAAATTCCAACAAATCTTTAGAACTTCAGATTAAATCTGGTTAAGTAGCAGTGAATTTACATGGAACAACTTCATGCATGTGCGGTATTGTTATTTTTAATCATGGGGGATACATTGCAATTTCAATTCGTTAAAATTTGATTTAAAAGATTGTGGTTCTTCAAGTGTAATATTTACAATTTTGAAATGTGTTTTGCTTTGAATGAAATGCAAGGAACCATTCTTCCCTTGTTGAAAAACAATAAACAATATTAATTCTGAACTGATACACAATGTCAACATTACTAGTAGTAGTATGATTTAAGTCACCCTCGTGTGGAGTTTACTATGTCAAAAAAGAACATTATGAGGATGCCTGAGTCACCTTAGCCGGGGCGATTTTTGCACTCCCCTCTTTTCCCTCATATTTTTTAAAAAGAATTGGACATATTTTCTCTCAAAAGGGTCTAGATCGATACTATCAAACCATCCCCCAAGTTTGGACCCCAAAGATCAACTTAAACTCACGACATTTCAAATTATGAATCATAGAGGATATAAAAATGTGTGTGTGCGTGTGAGTGTGTGTGTGTGTGCGTGGGTGTGTGCGTGTGTGTGTGTGTGTGTGTGTGTGTGTGTGTGTGTGTGTGTGTGTGTGTGTGTGTGTCACCAATGGAGGACCGGTTTTTTGTGGTATATAGTAGTGGTTAGGTGCTTTGCCATCGCACGCGGAAGACATGAGACCAACCCACGTTTGGGAAGTATCTTTGTAGATTTTCTCCATCTCTCAATGGGGACATTGTATCAGTCGGAGCCCAACGATAATATCATTGTCCTGAAAGGCTGGGTAGAGGCTGCCTGCTCCTATAAATAATCTAAATTGGGTCAATGGATGCGTAAACCATCTGCAACTATGATGCGTTGGGGTGAAATCAGGCGCTAGTCAAATTAATACAATTTTAAAAATCAAAATTGTTCGCCCCTTTTGGGGATTTTTATCAATTTTTTTAAACGTTGGGATCTATACTTTTTATGTCTGCCTAAAAGAAAAATCTTCCTGACTGGAATTGACTAAAAAACATTGGCCAAAAGCACAAAGAATGTAAACTTGTTGGTTTTAAAGACACTACACACGGTTTTGGTGTCACCAAACTTTGGCGGCCATTTTCTTCCTAATTTTTAACCCCTGGCACTAAGCGACCCCCCCCCCCCCAGCTCAAACAAATCCATATACCGGTACCCAAAAATTGACGAATGTTTGATTCCACGTGTCGTGATTCAATTATGCCCCACGAGTACTTTTGAAATGAGTACATGGGTATAGCGCAATTAAGTTCTGTTGTGGATTTGAACTAGAATCATCCCGCATTACAGCCCGGCATGACACACACAATACTAACAGTTAAGTTAACGTGTATGTTTTACACCACTATCTACACAATTTGATAAAAGCTAGCAATGCGCAATTGGATAATGTAACACTTTTAAAAAGGAGCAATATAACCTTTATTCAACACGAGTAACATTACCCGCGTGTCTACAGTATATTATCGGTTAAGCGTTTCACCAACGCAAACAGGAGACCCGATTTCGATTCCTGACTGGGGTGTCTTTTTAAAAAATCTCTAATCAAATGTCTCAGCCATTTCTTGTGTGATCTATCTTTTCATCCAGGGATAGCCCTGACAGGATGGGTCAAAGCCAGCCTCCTAGATTATTATCTAAATTATGTCGATGGGAGGGTAAAAAGTCACAATATCAATGAAAAGAAAAACATTAGAATAAAAAGAACAAAATAGCATGAGTAGCACTTACAATCAAGGCCTCTGGAATGCGTCTTTCCCTCTGAGAGAAGATTTTGAAATGATGCTAGTGTAAAATGATTAGAAAGAAGACCGCTTGAATACACCACGGGGCTCTACTTTTTGTTCGGGTCTGCAACGTTTGCGATATCAACCGGTAAACAGCTATTGAGTTTTATGGGGAAAGGATTAATAGAAAGCTTTTTTTAAATACAGGATAGAGAGTGGTTAAATTTAAATTTTCTCTTTCTTTCCTTCTGTTCAGTTTATTTTCTACGCCTGTACACTTCTCAGTTTTACTTTCTGTTTGTGGTTTGGAGTACACATTTATGTGTATATGTGTATGTTTGTATGTGTGTGTTTGTTTGTCTCTGTATGTTGGGGGATGTGTGTGTGTGTGTGTGTGTGTGTGTGTGTGTGTATGTGTGTGTGTTTGACTGTGTGTGTGTGTGTGTGTGTGTGTGTGTGTGTGTG